TTGGAAAAGCCCCAAGCCCCCCCCCCCCAGCCCCCTCTTCCTCCGCAGCCGCACAATTGTCACCGCCAATTAGTGCATTGTTAGGGCACACAATGGCGCTGTGGCCACTGGAATGGGCTGCTTTTGTGCGTCTCCAGTCGGCCGTAGGGGCAGTCAAGATTCATTTAGGGCCTTACACAACACGGACAGAAAATACTATCAGAAAAGCATAAGGGGGAAAGAAAAAGAGAGCGAGAGGTAGAAAAAGGAGGGGTGGGGGGAAATCTGCTATTCAGGGGTTAGCCCAGGCGCATGAAAGGCCCAAGAAGCAGTGCCACATTGAAGACGCCCCTTGCAACACAAAAAGCAACTAGGGCTTAATAGTAATTAGTGGGCGAACTGCAAAGAGCACGATGGCTCTCCAGCAGATTGTTCCTGCTCTTACTGCCACCGCTTCCCCTTCCCCCTTCCCACCGGATCTGGCTGGGAGAGGGGAGGGGAAAAGCCAGGGGATGGGAATTGGCAGCCCTCCTTTACCCACCACGCTCTGTAGAGGCCCCATCCAGCTCTTCTTTGTGGCAGGTAAATTGGATTTAATTCTCTAAAGCTTGTAGCCAATTACAGGAGGTATTTTGCAGACAGAATAGGACATATGGGTATGATTTTGGATTCACCATTGTGCCTGTTTCAAGGACCTTTAAAGCAGACCTATCCCTTTTTGCAAATGGCATGATGCGCCTTGTGGCTGGGCTGTTTGTCCACGGCCTGCTCTTCTTTCCCCCCGCCGAACCACAGAGAGCACCACTGTCATTTTGGTCTTCTGCTTCCTTTATTTCCCTCTTTATTCATAAAATCATCCGGTTTATAGGTCTTTACAACCTGTTTAGGCAAAGGCCTGACAGCTTCTCTGTCAGCTTAGTAGCTACGAGGAATCTGCTCAGGTTGAAAACCAAACGTCACCCTGCCCCCTCTATCAAAGTCTGCACAGTGTGAACCTCAGCAATCTCCTTTCCCCTGCAGTCACTCCTTTCCCCTAATTTTGGTGTCCCTTCCCAGCTACTCTAAGGGCTTCAGCAGTACTTACAGAATTTGTACATTTTGGCCCAACCTGGCTGTGTCTTTCAGGAGTATTCCAAGTTAAAAGATCCAGGTATAACCTGGGCAGGTGTAACCTCATAAAGACATGCTTGGGTATTGAAGAGAAATTCAGAGCATCTTAGCCCAAATGGAAAGTAAATAGAGACCCAAAATAATGAATGATTCCTTTTATTTTATCTTGTGATTGAAAGTAAAGAAAATCTATGGGAGAAAGCTGTGGTGGGGCTTAGTGGTTAGTTTATTAGCTATTCTCAGCTGGTGGATGTGGCTTTCAGTTTTCCTTGGATCCAGGAATATTAGACCAGGTTCGAATTTCAAGCACAACAGCGTGAGACCTCACAGAGCTCACGCTGAGTTCTTGTGGAGCCAACTCAGTACAAATTAGACCAGATGCCATCCCACCAAATTCAGTAGTCTCTGCTGGAAACATTCCCAAACCATAGTGCATAGAAGTGATGATACACACATATGTGCGTGTGCAGTTCTGGAGCACAGTCTCTTTTCAGGAAGAGAGCAGAAACAACTCCCAGTTCCCTCTCTCAGCTACACTTTTCTCTCCCTAAGATACCTGAACAAGTTTGGGAAATGCAGTTACGGCTCTAGTACCAGTCTTCTTTCCGTGGCCTGGAAACCACAGCCATTCTGTGTGTCTATACAAAATCAGATTGATTGATTGTATCAGGATAATGAAAACTGGATTCACAACCAATACTTTTGGCCCACCCCAAATCCCAACATGGGTTTCACACAAAGCTGAGTGTAGCACGGCAGCATCGGGAACTCAGTGGGAGTTGTTGGCAATGCTCCCGCGCTGCCAATGTCATCGGGAGCCCTCGCAGTGTCTGCACTACATAGAGATAGTGACTTGGTTTTAGGCACTGTCTAGCAACACAGAGCATGTCTGTCTCACACCAGCCACAACACTTCCACGCTGTGCTAATTAGCAATGTAAGTGGCGGGCTCTCCACTGAAAGGATTAAACTGTCTTCTCACCTTGCCCTGCCCCTTCTCCCTCAACGACAGATGTTTAGTCCCATCAGGATGTAGGCAGGGATTCCTGGCAGCTAAGGTGAGGGGGCAGCAGGGCTACTCTCCGGGCTGTACATCTACCAGGAACAAAATTGAGTCTCAGGACAGTCAGCCTAGCCTGACCACAGGGACACGCACCCCTGCAGCCCTACAGCCCGTGGTCACCAGGCTCATGCGCCGAAGTGAAACAGAGACAGAGACAGCAATGCAGGAGCCAGAATAGTCTTTTCTCAGCTAAGGACTGGGGATGTCAGGCTTGATTTCCTAGCTCTGTGTGGCCACATGGGCAACTCGTATCATTTCTCTGTCTGCAAAAACAGGGAGAACTTTTTTTTTTCTTTTCTTTTTCCCATGTTTTGTTCCATGGCTGTTGAGCCCGAGAGCTGTTGCGTGGCAGGTACATACAAGGAAGGGCAGATAACGCAGTTGCGTGGTGGAAGCTTGCGTGGCACCGCCTTAGCGTACACCCAGCTGAGGCCCATCTGCCTGACGGTGCAGTGGCTGCCTCTGCGAGGTACGGAAAAGGGCTCCTCGCTCCCCTGTCCCGAACAGCAGAATGGTTGAATTCATTAACATAGGGAAATGCACGCAAACAGAGAGTGAATTCTGGGGCAGCCAGACAGGCTTCTCTGAGCAAAAAGCCGAACCAAGCCACTCAGCTGGTTTTATGCCATAAGGAATAGGCGCTGGTCTGTGTGAGCCCAAATCTGTCACTGTAGAAGTTGTCCTACCTTTTTTTGTTAGCTTGTTGCTTACGTAAAACCAATTTGACTGCATCAGTTTGGTAAAAAGAGCCTTTAATAGGATTCACAACCTGGTCAGCAGAGATTTTTGGCAACCCTGCTGCACCATTTGTGGGAAGATGGAAATATTTCAGAGCTCTTTTTTGCCTCACCAGGTCATATCCCAAGCAGGGTGACATCACTGCATGTTTGACGGTATTGCACATTGCAGTTGAGTATAGGATTGAGAGCATGGGTGCCTTCTTTTGCCCCACAAATCTCTTCATGTGCTCCAATCTTGTTAGTTCTACACATTGAACAAAAGCATGAATTTGAAGGTTGCTAGCAACATCCTTTCCAAAATCGCTTTGACCTGTGTATTACATTATCCCATGAATGACTTGTAGAAGGAAGTAATCAAAACATGTTATAGTTCCAGCTAGTGCTAATTGCCTTTCCATCTCAGTTTCTGTCTCTTTCTACGTGTGACCAATAAATGTTGATTATGCAGGGATTTAAATCTGTATTTCAACATAATTTGGTTCATTTGATGTGAATGACATGTCTGTCTAAGTCTTAGCTCCAAATATACCTCCAACCCTGTGTCAAGCACTTCAAGGATGTCAAAAGGACATACCGGGAATCTGAAGTGCCTGGTCTTAGCAAGAATGCCTGAAAGGTCAGAGAGAGGACGTTGTTTGGGGAGGTCTCCGGCCTTGATATTTACCGACTGATTCGTGAAAACCTGGAAGCGCAGCACGTGTGTAGTGCATGTAAATTTTTTTCCTTCAAGAACAATACAGAGGAGTAAGTATAAAAGATACAATTTTCAAGCAATGTTGATTTTTGGTTGCCTGTAATCTTGGGAGGCCGATATGGGATGCTAAAAAGGAGTCCGATTTCCAGGGGACTTGCACATAACCGTTTCTGAAAACAAAGATCCCTTAAGGTTGCCTCAAGTGGATCCAGAGTCAGTCACTGCATTTGGAAAAACTTGATCACAGCCTCTTGAGAGGTCAGTGGAGAAATGTAGTCAAAAAGTGGTTGGTGTGTTCAAAATCTATTATTTTGGTTATATGAATCTTTAAATTTTCAGGAAAGGATAGACTGAACTTGGATTAGTCCGAACACAGACTGAAGTCACTCTTAGCGGTGACAGTTGTTATCATACCGGTTTCATAGATTCATAGATTTTTGAGGCCAGAAGGGACCACACGTGACTGCAGATGTTCAAAATGATAGCGATTTCTTTGTGAGGTGCCAGGTCAGCACAGACAGGCTATTTCTTGGACACGTGCCTGTTTTGACTGCCTGACTTTCTTGGCGATCAAGGCAGGTCTAATGGACAGGCGCTCATCAGGCTGCTTGCTGGCTGCAAGCTGCCTGGTTTCCCGACCAGCTCCAGGAACCCCAGGCTTTCGCTCTCCCTAGCTCTAGGATCCCCTCTGGTCCTCCCGGGGCAGAACGGCTTCCAGGCCTTTTCCGTTACATGGCAGGAAGCCTCCTAGCTTTTCCTGATGCTACAGGTTTTCTCAGAAACACGGGCAACTTGCCCTATTTGGCACAAACGTGTGTTTTGCTTTGTTTTTTAATGTTGGAATTTTCCATAAAGCAGAAATTCCGAGTTTCAGCCAGCTCCAATTGCTTGAGCATTGCTTGAGTTGCTTGAGTATTTTCTCCAGAGGATTTTTCACGTTGACTGTTAGAAATTTGCGTCCTAACTCTAAAGTATTTGGCGTTGCATTTTCAGCCAGAGGTTCCTATAGTCTGCCTCTCTCTGCTAGGTTAGAAAACTGCTTAGTACTTTCTCCCTTGGAAGTACTTACATACTGCGTACTTACAGATTTTATTTAAATTTGGGTGCAAAGCAAACAAATAGAAACAAGTTTGCAAACATTTTGGTTTGAGGCATGGTAACGAAAGCGTTGTGCCAGAGCTGAGCTGCTTTGAGCAGTCTTACCCTGATAGTATCTCATGGCAATGGAGAAGGCAAAAAAAGAAAATATTTACTTAAAGATGGCATTGATCAAAAGAGCGTTGGCAATAATTAGCCTATATTATTGTTATTTCATAGAGGAGTTTGATTGCTCCTGCCCATGAGTGGGGGTTTGGTTTCGCTCTGCTCTCGTAGTCAGACTGGCCGTTGTGTAAGTCAGTGTGGATCTTGGCCAAACAGCGCGGCTGTGCTCATCCGAGCCTGCTGGCGAGCCAGGCGTAGGTTAACTTGGCAAACGCATGCCAGCATTCGGGAGCCAACCTTTGTATTTTTGCATGCTGGCTCGCAGGAGGTCGCAGGGAAAGGGCTGAAGGGCCACCTCGCACCGAAGCTGTGGGCTGGTTGTGCCGTGGTGAAAACCATTGCTTCATCGCTGTTAAGGTCCTTTTGGCTGGACGTTTGGCTCAGACAGGCCAAAACGCCGTGGCCCGTGGGAAGTGCACTGCGCTCTGGGCTGGGAAATAGCCTGTGCTGTTCAGACCACCAGAGGGGCCAGCACTGGGCCTGTGGTCAAGAAAAATCTCTCAGATTTCATGCTTCAGGGTTGCTCATTTGGCAGCTTTCCTGAGAGCTCAAATTCACGGATAGCCGTAAGCATACAAACGTATGTTCAGGCCAACCACCCTGCTTGGAAATGCCAGTGGAGCAAAGTATTTAACTCTGAAAAATATGTGGAGTAACTTCTTTGCAATATATAGAGCAGCAACCATTTCAGAAACCCTCTATCTATATGTACTTAAACAGTCATTACTGCCTTCTAGGTAAATAACACATGTTTTTTAAATGGTCTCTATACACAATAGACGCTAACACAATAAATCCTAATTGCTCTGAAGGACCCATTAGGCTCTATCAGGTCAATAAATGGTGGAGGTTTTTTGAAAGTCACTCACCATGTTGTTACATAAGCTACAATTTGAAAGTCCATAAATAAGTATTTGCCCAATGAAGAGTGAGGGCTTTGCCAGGGCCACACTAATTTATCATGTCAACTGCACTATGGGGACTGTTTTCTTTTCAAGGGCTGATGTTAAAAAAAAAAAAGAAGGAAAGAAAGAAGGAAAGAAAGAAAGAAAGAAAGAAAACAGGCACATGATGTTTCAAAAGCGACGCATCTAAAGTTTCAGGCTGCAATATACCCACCGCGAAAATCAAATGTAAAGTTCACTACCTCCTTTCTCCTTATGTTGGCCTTGTGCGAATCAGAGCGAGGAGGTTTCAAGAGCAGCGCGTAGCTGTCGCTGCCGCCGGGGCCGTGCAGGGGGAAGGGGCGTCCCTCGGCCTCGCCACCTCCTCGCGCACCTTCGGGGCGGCCCTGACGCTCCCCGCGTGCGCTGCAGGACACCGACCCCCCTTCCCTGGGCTGGCGGGAAGGGGTCCCCGGCCTGGTGCGAGGCCGATGATAGGCGCTACCGACGTTACATGCAGTTATATATACAAATAATGTTAAGTAATAACTGACAAGTCCAGCAAGATGAGTTTCCAGTGCAGAGTTTCTTCCTGATTTTACTTTAGTATTATTTATCTGTACTTTCAGTAGCGTTTTGCAAACTGCTGCGCTCATATCAGTTGCTAAAGTTTGCGTCACTGTTAGAAATTATATTTTGCATTAATTTATTCAGACTGTGTAGGTCCGCGTAGCTTTTAGCTTTGAACATGGCTACAATTTGGTATGGTTTTGTTTTCCCACAGTATTTTAAGGTGTGTAATTATATGGGTATATATATGTAAAAAACAAAGCGTATGTTGATGCAGTTCAGGATTTTCAAGGGGATTTGAACTAGGCGTCCATGGTGAGAAGTGACCTAAATCACCATCGCCAGCCAGCGGCTTTTAAATCATTTGGACACGCAGGAAGATGTTCACCCCAGCGCCTGTTGAATTTAGGTAGGATTTGAGCAGCCTTTTGAAGTGTTTCAAAAGTCACAGTACCTTTCGCAAAGGCCGTTTATCCAGGTGAAGACTGCAGGCTGCTTAGAGAAAGAACGAAAGGCAGAAACATTTGCCACCCTGTTACTTTCTCTTCCTGCCAGGGACCACTCCGTCCCAGCTGAAAAACACACCATGGGAAGGGATGAAGGGGTATCTGCGGGAACACGTATCGTCAGCCCGTGCCCGGATCCCCCGGCTGGAGCCGCGAGAGGGACAAGCAGGACTCCCCGGCGGAGCCGTCTGGTACGGTGGAGCTGCACTAACACCTTCTGCACGGGGACTAAAGGTAAAGCAATTTCCTATTAATTTGTGGCATTCATAGACAGTGATCAGTGAGTTCTTAGGGAAGGGAAACGCTTTGTCTTTCGTCTCTCCAGGGCTCGGCGTGGTAGGGTTTCGTTCAGCAGCACCGTTGCGGCTGGTTCTGTACGCACATAAAACACTGTGCTCTCCTACAGCACCACAGAGATAAATAACAAGCGTATCAGCTGGCTGTACTTGCACTTAGACCGTCTTTAATCCTGTTCTGGTTGCTCTGCTACGTATTCACAACAGCAAAAAGGAAACAGAAGCGCAGAGCAAGCCAACAGATGTCTACCTGGCTCTTAATTGGATTTTATGTGTCCCCCGTGTAGCAAATGCAGCATTATTTACAGCCAGGCTCTAAGAATTAGATACGTCTGGAGGACTGGTGAATCCTGGACCAGGCGGCAGCAGTGGATAGATTAGCTGAAGCGGAGAGCTGCCTCGTTTTCCCCTTCTTCTCTTCCCCCTGCCCACCTACATGCCTGTTCCCCACTGCGTATCAAATAAAACCAAGGGTTTGTTTTTTTTTAAAAAAGAGAAATACCAGCAAAAATGAGAATTTCTGCTCTTGCGGAGCTTCATCAGCATTTCCTAATTGCACAGCAATGACGACAATAAAGAGGCCGCCCTCCGCTCTCGGCTGTAGTTCGGATAAGCAGCGGAAAGCGGCGATGGAGCTGCGCGCGACTGCTTTCCGCTGGGCTCCTCGCCCCGCGCCGTCCCCGCCGGGGGGAGCTGGAGGTCGGGGCTCCGGCGAGAGGGA